ATGTTTATGAATTGTGTTGGAAAGAAATATTAATATGTGATAATTGATGTATTGACATTGTGATGATTTATGGTAATTATATGCATTAGATATAAATTGTCATGACATATGTCGAAATATGTGGTTTAAGTTTATCCATATGACATTCATTACATGTGGGTCATGACATTGATATGCAATGGTTCATTAAATTGCATTTGCACAGAGACATCTTATCATGAGGGTATGTGTGCATAGTTGTCGTCTTCACCTCATTTGGTGGATGATGAGTGAACTTGGGAAAGTCGGATCGATGATTCGACTAAGTCGCACGAGTGTATGGAAAATTGGGTTGGGGTTAGTAAGAAGGGATAAAATATCCCTTTGGTAAAAGACCCGATGATTGGATTCGCATTCTGTTAGTATAAGAGTCCATAAACTGTGTCGATATACGTGGAACCATTGGTGGTAGTCCATGAATTCCATGTCGGCTGGGTGCCGTTGGTATGAGTCCATGAATACCCACCCCAAGAAAAGCCCTAGAATTGTGAATGTCATTTTGATGTAAACATAAATGACGGTTTAAATACACATTGACATTGCATTGTGTTGTAGGAGTCGGTGAAGACTCGGGTTAAGATGCGTGAGTGAGTCTCACCTCATTTAATGGTATGACATGGTAAAATTCCAACATTGAAATGTATATTCTTGTTTGGAATGGAAAATGATGGTTGAGTGTTGCATATAAACATTGCATGTGCATCTAGGGTGGGAATAGCTTCTGTAGGAGATACTCTATTGAGCGTAGCTCACCCTATACGGGAAAATATTTCAGGTGCGGGATACACGTCGGTGGACGACTCTCATTCGGGGCCTCAAGGGTGAAGAGTGGCCTACTTGTGGCCTTTAACCTTAGATTTTGTAAATACTTTGATAAAAGTATGTATTGGGCATGTAATCGTATGTAGTTAATTGTAATAAACTTGTATAAATGAGGTTTTATGTGAAAAATTCCATTATACATGTTTTGGATGAAAATGAGATGGATTGGAAATGAAAAACAGGTGAAATAGGCAAAATTGGGCAGGTAATACCGGTACACAATATCGGTACAGTTGGGTTCAGAAGGCAGACAATAACGGTTTAAAAAGGACCCCCAATTGTGTAACTAAATCAACATGAAGAAAGGAAGACAATGAATTAGTCACATCCACAAAAGACAAACCGGACAAAAGGAAAAGGAAAAAAGAAATCAATATTATCCAATTGCTAAAGTTGGGATGCTGAAACAAAGAGATGGTCATAATTCTAGTATACTGCTTCACACCCACAAATATTTGATGTTTCTACTCAAGGTGATTTAGTCAATTTGTTTGAGTGTATCAAGTATATGGATGTGGATAATATAGTTTGTAGCCATTAACCAAAAATGTAATATGCCACCTTAACACCAACACCGGAACAACTCTGCAGCATCGCAAAAGCACACCTTATGAAATTTTTTCTCACCCATAAGTTCTCTAATTATCAAGCCCATTGATTCCATTGGAACTACCGACCTTACCATATATCTTCAAATTCCACTTCACGCTATACTCTAAAGCAAAATAAGGTTTATTTATCTTCTCTTCCTCCATTTTCACTAGTCCCCCTCTTCGAACGACGCCAAATCCTCTTCATTGCCAAGGTATTCTCCCTCTCTCTCTACATATTTATATATATCACGAATTGAATATTTCGATTGTTTTTATTTTTTTCCAAAACATTGTACTACAATATTTTAATCTACTATATATGTGATCGCATTTGTGAAATTTTAAAACACTTGAACCAAATAGTCTTCAGTCTTTGCCCTTGGTGACACATCTACAATTTACAATGACATATTAAGGTGGACCACNCAATATTTTGATCTACTATATATGTGATCGCATTTGTGAAATTTTAAAACACTTGAACCAAATAGTCTTCGGTCTTTGCCCTTGGTGGACCACAAAAAAATTCCAAAGCCAACATTAACATTGGTTTGGATGGGATTGAAGATTAAACTTGTAAATTAATGTAAAAATTAAGAGAGTTGACCCAAAAAAACAATGGTTTGTCCATGACCCCATTATATAATAAATTACTTTTTAAATCAAGTATTAGATAACACCACTTCATTTTATTCTATCTATATCCGAGTTATTGGATTTGAATTAAGAATTCAAATTAGTCCAATCCCCCAAAACTTTGCCAAACACCCCCTTTAGATGATAAAATAATGGGTCGAATCCCCATTCTCAATTCACCTTTTCCTTTTTGTTCAACAATGCAATTCTAATTAGGCTCGTCAAAATTCGACATGACATAATTAACTTTCACGAATCGATACGAATTAAGTGGATTTAGATGAGATCTTAACGGATACGGGTGATAAACGGGTTGACCCGTCAAACACGTTTAATAAATGGATTGGATTTTGGTAAATNTTTAGATGAGATCTTAACGGATACGGGTGATAAACGGGTTGACCCGTCAAACACGTTTAATAAATGGATTGGATTTTGGTAAATCCTGTCAACCCGTTTATCACATATTTATCTGTTTAAATAAAATTAATATAATAATAAATTAATAATTATCTTAAAAAAATTAGACAGATTTTTTTTTAATGGCAGCCATATAAAATATATATTATTTTTAGTGGTAGCCACATTATTTTTTTTTTAATTTAGTGATAATCACAAAAAAATATAATAATAAATTAAAACTAAACAGTGTTACCCGTTTATTAAACAGTTCATGCTCATATTATGATTTTTCGCGTTCATATTAGGATTTTTCGTCCGTTGTATGTGACTGTTATATATTTTTCATCCGCCGTACGTTTAACTCGATATAGCCATTTAACCCTCCTAATGCAGTCTATTGGGTAAGAAAAGAGCCCTTTCTCACACCGAAAGCCATGAATATTTTACTGGGTGTGTCTTCTTCCCTCGGTCTTCATATTAGTTTTATCTCTTACAGTAGTTGGGTATTTTTTTTTCCCTCAAATTTTGGAGTCCTATTATTATTTCATATGTGGGGATAAATTTGTATGTGAATTTTAGTATTCATGATGCCCCCCCGCCCCTCCCAAAAAAAAAAAAATCCAACTCCACCCACCAAAAAAGAAGAAGGAAAGAACAGAAATTTGTTGCAAGGTGAAGTAGCTTAGCTCTTCACTGAGTTTAATTGTAGGATTCCGTGGAATGAGCTGCAAATTCTGAAGGATTTATAAGCTGTCCTGATCTTATGGATAATTGTACAAAAGGGTGTTTGAAACTCTGAAGTGGTGACTATTTTAAGGTTTTATCAGACCATTTAAAGTAGTTAATTTGACATAGGTAGTGTAAATTATTACCACCGACTGAATGAAGTAAAAGAAAATTAGGAGTAAATAAGTTAATGGTAGTATTTAACTTAGGGCTCTTGTTGTCGAGTTGGTTTGATTTAATCTCCTTTCGCATATGTTGGAACTCTCATGATTCAAGGTGCAAAATTAGAAAAAGTCATCCTAGTGTACATGGAGGCAGCTTAAACCCCCTTTTTTGGCAGATTCTAATACTCAAACTGGTGACATAATGCGTGGAAGGACGAACACTTGTCATCGCTTGTGGACGTACTCTATAAAAGGTGTACATGTANGCGTACATGGGTCTCACCTAGGCAGCTTAAACCCCCTTTTTTGGCAGATTCTAATACTCAAACTGGTGACATAATGCGTAGAAGGACGAACACTTGTCATCGCTTGTGGACGTACTCTATAAAAGGTGTACATGTACAATTCATACATATTTAATAAATACCTAAGAAATATTTTTTCATCATGTATGACAAAGCACATTTGCTTTGAGAATATAGTACAAAAAATATAATGATTTTGGGAGGATCCATTTCCCCAGCCATATTGGTTGCATCCACAGTCCCATACCCGACAAATTAGTCCATGAAAAGGTTGTTGATGCAGCCTTTTAATTTGTGAGCATTTCCCAATATTTATTGGGAAATAAGCACAAAATTCTCTCGAAAGTTGTCACTGGAACATGAATGAATGAACCATTACCAAGTCTGGAGGAGTTTAATAGATGTTGGTGCTGGTGAACTAGTTGTTAGAAAGGAACTTTTAGCTCTTTGAAGATCATAAATTGAGTATTTCGTTTAATTTGCTCTTCACCCCCTTCCTCTGCAGTTGTAGTTTTATGAAATTTCCATTCATGTTGTGTCGTTCTTCTCGGTCTTATTTATCTCCTAATAGATCTTTCAAAGTTTTCCTGATACTGTATCTACGATAGACCTAATATTTTACTTTCACTTCTACCATTCACTTGTTGAGTAATTGTTGCTCTTCCTTTAATTTGGAAACCACCCAATTTGTTTGAGACATCAAAGATAAGTTCACCACAACTCAAAGCCCCTTTTGATGCTATAATTGAAGCACTCTGTTTTCTATTTAAAATGGTGATGGAATGTTAAACAAGGAAGGCATTGAATGAGGCTTCTCCTTGGGAGAAATCCCCTGCACACCTTATTAGAACTCGCTTTAGTTAATCAATTTCACTTGCTATATTGCTTCTAACTTATTTTTGTGTTGCATTTCATACAATTGCTATTTTAACCATCTCTTGGTGCTCCTTGTGATTGAAATGCATAAGAAATGGACTGGGACAGCAATGGGAAGTCAGCTTCCAGAATTCCTCTAGGTTTTGATTCGTTGGGCTGGGATTGGCTCCAATGATGAAATCCATGTAGAGGAAGTTAAGCAGAGCACAAAAAACTATGGATGAATCAAGGAAAACATCTGAATTGAGGTCAGATTGATACATATGTACATATGTCCAGTATGAAGACTTCTTGTTCTGTCTTGTTTACAGTAATGATGATTTTAATCATACATATAAATCTGATCGGTAAATGGCAAGTTACTTTTGGTGTAGACTTTGTTCTTGTTCCATACATTACATTGAAAACTTCTGGTAATGGACTGGAAATCTATAGACAGCCAAAATATTACTAATCATTACAAAGATACAACTCAAGGCACACTTCTCTCTTGCTAATTACTTGAACAACCTAACACAATTTACAAATCTCCAACAAGGAAACAATGAAATAGAAGGATTATAGAAAATTGGAAGCATCCTCAAACCAACAGAAGAATTCCATTTTGCTTAACTATCTATATGCCATTGTTGTTCGTCGTGGTTGAGTTTCATTGTATTCCTAAAGCTTGGATTCTCCTTATATGTGACAAGCAAGAAGCATTTATTTGCTTCCATTCTTCCCTTCTCTCCGTCTTTTGGCCTTCTTCCGTGAAGCACCTGTCATGGCCATTGAGTATGCTGACAATCTGCCTCATACTTGGTCTTAATTCTGGGTTGGAGCGTGTGCATGCCATTCCTAATTTCGCCAGCCTCACCAGTTCCTTATGATCGTACTCTCCACACAACCTCCAATCGGCCAATTCTTCATAAGGCCTTTTTCGTGCTTCAAATTGATGGACTCTCCTCACCAAAAGCACCTCAGGATGCCGGAAGTCAACAGCCTTCTGTCCACTAACCACCTCAAGCACCACTATGCCAAAGCTATAGACATCAGCCATAGTGGTTGCTTCACCAGATTTAACATACTCAGGTGACATGTACCCAAAAATCCCACGAACTGATCTATTTTTGTTGACAACCACATGATGGCCATGCTCATTACGTGTCAAAAATTCTGCAAGTGCAAAGGAACTGAGCCTTGGGTTCATGTCTGGATCGAGAATTATGGAAGATGAAGTAATATTTCTGTGAATAACCTGCTCATCCCATTCCTCGTGGATATATTGTACAGCAGAAGCAAGTGACTTTATTATGTTGTATCGGTGGTGCCATCTTAGCATTGAAGGCAATGTCTTATGATCATGATTGAAGAGGAGATGACTTAGAAGACGATTTGCCATGTAATCGTAGATGACAAGCATCTCTCCTTGCTCAGTGCACCATCCACGAAGCTGCACCAGGTTTCGGTGGCGGAGACTGCCTAAGTTCTGAAGTTCATTCGAGAAACGCATCCGCAATGCAGGGCATGTCTTCATACCTAGCCTCTTAACCAGGATGTGGTGGCGGTTTTCAAGGAAGCCATGGTAGGCAGTTCCGAAGTCTAGCTCTGCTACCCTTCTAGAATCTGAGAAATTCTTTGTGGCAGAAACAATTTCCTTGAAGTTTATTTCACGTGGGATTTGAACCATTGGGAAAGTGTTCGACTGGCAGCGGCTCTTTTCTGACGAGCTGACATGAGAATCTCCATATTCAGCAGTTGCATATACGGTTTCTCCGGTGGCTGTGACAAAGTTTGATGAATTGGATGTAACCGTGGTAGTGGTTGTGGTGGTGGTGGTGGTGGCAGACCTCGTGTTGGTGTTGTTGCTAGTGCTACTATTGGTTGGGGAGGACAAGGAAATGTATAGGGGGTGGGCTTTAAATGATGGAAGACCAGGCAATTTGCCATAAATATTACCTGAAAGTGCTTCCAAAACCCATTTCATGTTGGGCCTTGATTGCGGGTCATGAAGCGTGCATAGTAGACCGAGATGAATCAAGCATTCCATATCAGAAAGCTTGTAAGACCCATCTGCAAGCCGAGTATCCCCTGCTTCTAAAGGCCTCCCCTCATCAGATAGCCTTCTGATCCAATCAAGCAAAATGATCTGATCATCTGAATATGTGAGATCCACTGCTCGTCGTCCTGAAACCACCTCCAAAACTACTACCCCAAAACTGAAAACATCAGATTTTGCAGTGGCAACACCCCGTTTTTGGAAGCTTTCCGGTGGCAAATACCCAATTGTACCACCAATTCTGGTTGTCTCTGCAAGCCGAAACTGGTGATTCTTCATTGATGGTGTCCGGATTTGGTACTCAAGTTCATGTTCAAGCCACCTAGCTAGGCCAAAATCACCTAGTCGTGCATTATAATTCGAGTCGAGCATCACATTGCTTGTCTTCACATCCCGGTGTATGATCTGATTCTCCAACTGTTCATGGAGGTAAAACAGTGCAGCTGCCAAACCGTTAACAATCTTTCTTCTACGCTCCCAATTAAGAGATGCTGACCCCATATTTTCAGGTCTTTTGAAAAGAACTCTGTCAAGACTCCGATTGGGCATGTAGTCATAGACAAGAAGCAACTGATTTTCGTGAACACACCACCCACGGAAGCGGACGAGGTTCCGGTGGCGGAGATGAGCCACTGCCACTAACTCAGCCACAAATGACTTCTCAAACCTCTCCCCTCTCTCCACCAAGCATTTCACAGCAGCAACTGTTCCATCACTTGGTAAAACTGCTCTATATACTTTTCCAAATCCTCCACTGCCAAGAACTTCATCCTCACTGAACCCATTGGACCCTACGTAGAGTTCAGCATAGCTGAATATCCGCGGATTGTTGCCACCAATCTTTTCTGAGAGTTGAACTCCTTCCATATCATGGAACAAGCTTGAGGGTTGTTTTTTTGGTGCTCCTTGGTGACAAAAAACAACCCATTTCGAGTCGAAGAATCGGTGAAGTGATTGGCGGAGGAAATCAAGAATCTGAACTCCGCAGTGACGATGGGATGAATCTGTCTTAGCTGGTGTATGGACTTTTTTCTGATCCACCAGCTCAGTCTTATCGAAGTCTGCTGGTAAAATGAAGCACAGGTGACGGTCTAGCTGCATGGTGGACCTAGTGGTGGCTCCTGTGGTAATGTTGGTGGTGGTAGTGATGGTTTGAATGGCGGTAGGTGATGGTGGGAAGTTTCTGAATATGAATTTGAAATATAGCTCTGTGATATATACTAGTGGGGATACATGTGTGCCTTTTAGTATTGATGTTATTCAAACTTGGTTAGGTTGCAAGTTTGAATTGTATGCCTTGATGATCAACCAGAACAAACCACCCCCCTCACCTTTTTTTTTTTTTTTTTTTGGGGGGGGGGGGGAGTGATGGAAGCAGTGAAGATTCTTTAGTTCAACACGGTTTCTGGAACACGAGCATTCCATCAGTGGTTCACACGAGCATGGATTAGCACACTCTCATTGGAAAGTGCGTGAAGGTCACCCAGGTAACATAGAGCTCATCTTTTGGAAACTCCAAGGTTCTACTTCGGGAAACAAATATTCACTGTAACAATGATATCACATCAGTATTGTCATATCCTATTTCTAGTAGTAACTGATATGGTATTGTGCATTTTGCATCTTCCTATTAGAACGGTGTTTGAATTCCTGTGACTTATCATTTACCATAAAGTTATTTTTATGAATCTAGTTTGAGGGTAAAGTAAGGTATTCATTTTTTTCAAAATTTCGATAATCTTTTAGTCTAGAAACTTCTATTTTTCTTTAAAATAATAGAGAAGAACGTGAAAGAGGAGATGAATAGTTTAAAATGGTAGTTAATGTGTGAAAGAGGTCAAATTGGTACAAATTTAAAAAACTAGATGTTAGATATGCAGATTTAATTAAATATTAATAAGTATCAAATAATTTGTTCTCGAGTCATATCTGATGTCTCAACTATACACACAATTTTTCATCTAAAAAAAGTGACAATGAAGTCGAAGCTTCACTAAACGATGCACAACAAAAAAATGCAACAACTTTATAGGGTTAAATCTAAATTATGATAAAAATTTACTTTCCTTATGAAGTTTTTTTTTTGTGTGTTAATTTCAAGTTGATCATCTCGATTTATGAAGCATTGTAGTTATACTATAAGCTGTTTTTTCTCTACTTTTTTTTTTTGATTGAACCATCTCAAGTGTTCTACGATTCAAAAGTCCACGTTCCAGCCCATACACAACAACAACAACAACATATATATGAAATTGAAGACCTTTGATGTTCGATAAGGTTTTCTTTTTTCTTTGTAATTTCCTCCTTTGATTCTCCTTATTTGTTCTATTTTACCACACTTTATGGAATCAACATGTTTTCTCTTCAAATGAGGCATTTAGTCAAGATTAAAGGTTGGACTCCAGATGGTGGAGTCTGGAAGAAATAAATGGTGACTAGCCTTATCCACATCTCTCGGAGATTAATTTTCGGATCTCAAAAATATAATGAATAACTTGAACGGATGAGTATTTGTCATTGTTGTAGACCCGAACTCTAGAGACCCGATGGATAAAGGTTAAATGGTCAAACGTGACAAAAATTAATAGAAATTGAGAAATAATCCGAACGTGATTATTTGTGGGACCCATTAGTCATTTTCAGAAAAGTTAAATTATCCAGATAAAGAACTTGATTATNCGGATGAGTATTTGTCTTTGTTGTAGACCCGAACTCTAGAGACCCGATGGATAAAGGTTAAATGGTCAAACGTGACAAAAATTAATAGAAACTGAGAAATAATCCGAACGTGATTATTTGTGGGACCCATTAGTCATTTTCAGAAAAGTTAAATTATCCAGATAAAGAACTTGATTATTCCCAAGAAAGTGATTAAAGTATCTGATTAAACCAAACCAAACCACACGCAAAGACGGCGAAGGGATGAATACGAAAGTCAACATTGCTAGGTGTTCTGATAGGAACTGTGGGGTCCAAGGATTTTACATGCATCAATGGCGGCAATGAAGGTACCAAGTTCCTTCTTTCTTTTGCATTTTGAGCAATTTTAAGTTAATTTATTATATTGATCAAAAAAAAAAAAGTTAATTTATTATAATTTTTAGATTGACGGTAAATCCCATTAAATGTTGAAAGTGAGAGTTAATTCATTAGTTCTAATGAAATTCTATCATTAGATCAGATTTTTACATCTAAATAATGTTACTGTATTTATTTTTGAGCAATACTATTGAGATCTAATTTGTTGACTTGATTTATTATGATTTTTGGATTGACTGTGGGCCCATCAAATATTAAAATTTAGTGTTGATCTAATAATTCTAATAAAATCACATCATTAGATCAATAAATTAGGTCAAATTTTTAGATCTAAATAACATTATTTTTTATTTTTTAAGTTAAAAATCGATAAAAAAAATTAGACTTCCACTGCTTTAACTATACTCTTTATTATAAATTGTGCTTAAAGTATAACGTTGTTCACATTTTGTCTTCAACTATAGTTCGTGGTTTCACATTTATAATCAATTCTCACGGTTCTCACATTACACCTCGAAGAGCAACACTAGGAATTTAATTTGGAGACGTAATTAGGGACCTATTTCAAACAGACTCTTAGATTAGTTGCGAGTTTCATTAAAAAACTCACTTCTAATTTAACAACTGAAAGTCAAAAACTAATTAAATTCTCAAATTAGTTCTTAATAATATTTTCAACTCAAACTAAAAATATTAATTTTACACTATATTTATTAATATCGAAAAGTGTATTTTATCACATATTTAGATTAATTTTATCAAAAACATGTCGAATATATGGTATTGGGGATTGTGTAAGAAAAAGAAAAAGAAAAAGAGCAGTGTATATTTATTTAAAGATAATGCGTAATGGCCATGTGGCTGTTTGGTAGGTTGAGTTTGGTGACTTGGTTGCCTACTTCCGTTTACATTTTGGTGGGCGTTGGGGTACTTAGATGTGGCATTGAATGTGGGGACAATTGGCAATAACATTGGGTTTGGATTAGGTTCAAAATTTTAAAATAATTGAAAATGCANATACTCTTTATTATAAATTGTGCTTAAAGTATAACGTTGTTCACATTTTGTCTTCAACTATAGTTCGTGGTTTCACATTTATAATCAATTCTCACGGTTCTCACATTACACCTCGAAGAGCAACACTAGGAATTTAATTTGGAGACGTAATTAGGGACCTATTTCAAACAGACTCTTAGATTAGTTGCGAGTTTCATTAAAAAACTCACTTCTAATTTAACAACTGAAAGTCAAAAACTAATTAAATTCTCAAATTAGTTCTTAATAATATTTTCAACTCAAACTAAAAATATTAATTTTACACTATATTTATTAATATCGAAAAGTGTATTTTATCACATATTTAGATTAATTTTATCAAAAACATGTCGAATATATGGTATTGGGGATTGTGTAAGAAAAAGAAAAAGAAAAAGAGCAGTGTATATTTATTTAAAGATAATGCGTAATGGCCATGTGGCTGTTTGGTAGGTTGAGTTTGGTGACTTGGTTGCCTACTTCCGTTTACATTTTGGTGGGCGTTGGGGTACTTAGATGTGGCATTGAATGTGGGGACAATTGGCAATAACATTGGGTTTGGATTAGGTTCAAAATTTTAAAATAATTGAAAATGCACAAAATTAATTATGTACAATTAAATCAGTCGAGTGTATGATGTAAAACAATTAATAAAACAACTAATAATAAGAGACAAAGATTGGATGTTAGGGTCTAAATGACCTAACCACTGAAGACGACAACAGTGGACGAAGAATTTTATTGAGAGAGTAGAAAGTAATAGGAGAAAGCGCGCAAGAGTACGCTCACGGTGAGATGTTTGAGATCTGCCCCCATGTGTACGAGGGTTTACAATTTATAGGCGCAAATCCCTAACTGAAGCGGTGACGTAAAAGTCAAGCTATTAATTTATCGGAGAGTATAGCTACTATCGAGAATATGCACTATCTTAAAGTAATGGTTATTCTGATAATTATTCTCCCACGTGTGTTGACTCTTGAATTTTGGACTGGACTAAAGTCATGAGTTAACTCCGATATGTCTTTTGATGATTTAGGCTCAACCCATAGACTATGCCTAAACTTGGTCTAAATTTGAGCTCGTCAATAATTATTAAACGGGTCATATTCGATAAATTTAATAAATAAATTGTGTTTAGATTTAAAATGCAATTTAATTAGTATCGACTCTAAGTCAAAAGATTCTCTATAGTAAAAAAAATGAGCATTAAGAGTGTAATATTTATATTTTAAATATTAATTTAGTTTCTTTAATTAGGTAATTTAAAATTAAAGTGAATAGAGAGAAAATTAGAGAGATGTAAGGACGAGAGAAGACAGAAGAGAGATGTATGTGCAAATTAATGGAATTGTCTGGTGAGGACCGTGCAAATAAAATGATATTTTGAAAAAAAAATATTTTGAATAAAATTTTGTGCCGTTAGATAAGATTACATGAAGATTAGATTAATTTAACTGTTGTTATATTTTTATAAATATATAATTTAAATTATTAATTATAATATTAGATAGATATTATGTATACGGCTTGTTTAATTTAGTTGGTGATAATTTGTGATGGTTTTCATGGCTTGAGTTGTTCACTTGTGACTCAAATACAAGTCATAGTTGGCTTACTATGTAATAAAAGAAACATGTTTTTAAGTCGTGTAACATGATATTATTAGTTAGACGAGGTAGCAAAGAGGACAGATAGACTAAAGATATGTTAGTGCTAGGTAGTGTTAGAGAAATTGCTGGACAAAAGCAGAACAGCCTAGTCTAATATAATTTGAACATGTACGTGTCGTCGTAACTCTAGGACGGCCATCCCTAATAGACTTTTTCCTTCACGCTATCTTCTAAATATTAACGACATCCTTCATGGTACGGAATGGCCTGATTCAGGCCGGGTACCACCATAACATTGTTCACATATATTTAGAAGTAGGGTTGTTCACCCGAGTCGACGAGTAGCAAATAGTGGACTTCATTTTTCAAGCCAATTATATGTGGAAGGTCAATTTCTTGGCCGACCTTACCCGATCGAGGGTGATGTTCTGAGCTGAATTTCGTAAAATCGGCGAGAGAGTCAACTAAGAATGTGAAATATCTCACATATTTTTCAGTTTTTAAATTATTAATTTTTTGATCATTTTAACAACTAAATTACTAAATTTTTGGGTTATTTTTATAATTACGCTATTAAAATATAACATAAGAATATATAAACCAATACAATAAGTCAATAACATTA